TAAACCTGTTGAAAAAAGTTGTGTGCAGACAGTGCACATCCCTAAGATAGTATAATTCCATCCAATTAGCACCAAATATACCCCAAGATGAATCAGGAATAATTTTATACTAAATCCACTTTCCCTCTTGAGTTCAGGCAATTAGTCAGCCAAACAATCTAACAGTGCTTTATGGCTTGAAGGCGGCTACTAGAACCTAAACTCAGACCTCAGTGTTTCTGGGGTAAGAAACCAGATAAGACCTTCCACTTTTAAATCAAATGCAAAGGGACCAATTTTCCCCTTAAACATAGATCTTCACAAATCAGTCAATTCATACACTCACCCACCAGGCCACCAGTTGACACCCTTTAAATAACGTAGTCTGTGGAGAGACTGCAGTGCAAGAGACCCATCCTGAAAAGTCAGAAGAGTCAGGATGTGTAGCCCATCACTACGGTAAGGACAGCTGCCTGGAGCCCCAAGCAGAATGGCAAGCAACGCAGGACAAAGGCAGACCTGAGCTGGCCGACCTTTGTTGACAATACTAGCTTTGAGCCACAGTTTGTGGTTGAGTCTGGCTAAGAAAGGAGTCATATCAGCAATGTGGCAATAGCCCAAGGCAAGGATCTCATTCAAAGACTGAACTGTCTTGGTACCAGGGGCCCCACCTACTGAAGAAAGTTTATATGCAACTGTACCAACATCAGTCAGACACTTATACTGCTGCCTGCTACTCCCACTCAAGTCACCCTTCTGAGAACTTTGTTGTCAATATGGCAGGTGAGGATTTGACAAAGAACTCCCTTACAAAGTTCCCCAAATTAGTACAGCAAGGTCAGCATATGAATTCAAACTGAAAAGCTTGTTCTTATAGTAACTGTCAATTAATTCAGAACCAAAACACCCCTCTTTCATTTGAAATCACAGGCAACTGGTCTTGTGCTCACTATAAGCATGCTATTTGCCATCCATTAGGTTACATCAGTGAACTGTGTGCGCCAAGGACTCGCCTTATAACACATTAACATTTCTGGGGACCCTAGTTTCCCCTCTGAACCATTACATTGCTCTTCTCTGCACCATCCCAGGAAGTAGCAGCAATGAGCATTTAGTGAGGTCTGCAGTGAATTTTACAGATGTTTCCACTGCCCGTTCATTATAGGGACAAGTGTTACATTAGCCAAGTTATGTACAGCTAAGAAAGGAAGAGGGGTCTTAAGAGCATCTCCCTACTACACCCCCACCCTCAGGGTGAACTCATACAGCTCCAGAGCCACATGCACCCTGGAGGGTGGAAAGCACCTTAATCTCCTAATTCCCAATACCACTTATCCCAGAAGCTCATTGGCATGAAGCAGCAGGAGTTGCTGGGCACAGATAGCTCCCAGTCCTAGAAAACCCTGGTGATGGTAATGGGCTCTAGCAATAGCATCCCATAATTTAAAGGAAAGCTGTTCTACCTGAAAACTGACTTCTTGGTTCATTTCTCACCTTCAGGGGGCAGCATCAGGGTTTCCAAGCTCACTAAGGCAAAAAGCAGCTCCATGCATGGTGAAAATGAAAGGGGCAGGAGAGGCAAAACAAAAGTGATGTTGGGGGAACCAGTCTCCTTGCTGGAGAAGACGGCAAAAGTTGCAGAGAATTAGTCCTCTTAGAGAAAGTACCACTGATGTGTCTAACGAGGTCTGCATTTCACTCAGGGCAATAAGAATACAGCAACAATGAGGGAGGCTGTGGCCATGACAAAGGAGACAGCTGGGGGAGGAAATCTGTGCGTGGAATATGAAAGGGAGATCTAACTGTCAATGACTTCCTGTCCTGCCAGACTGTACATACAGGAAGTGCTCTTGCTTGCTTTCTTGACAGCCATTTCCTCTGGGTGGCCATCTAAGCACCTTCCACAATGCAGGGGAATGGCCCAACATGTTGCCCTTGGGGAGAACAGCAAGTGGGCAACAGTGTTCTGGGTTCTTTCTAGCAGCCAAGCTCCTTTTGATCCCTCCAAACACCAAGCAAGTTATGTGCTGTAGCACTGCCCCCTCACAGGACATTCAACCATAAACTTACTGCTATGTTGCTAATAAACTAACAGTTCTTTTTTTGAGAACAGGTACCATGCGAGTAATGGTAGATTGGACTGGCAAGAATCAATGGGGATGATGGTCACCTTGTTGATCAACAATGCCTTCCTTGTCAGGGAGACCAAGGCTGGAGTTGAACACCCTGCCAGATCATCCACTGGTGGCATGTGTTCCAGTTGCTCAGTCCTGAGGTCAGCTCTGCAGTGAGTCTCAAGAAATATGGCCCTCGTCATCCTAAAGTTAACATACCAATGCTAATCACCTCATATCTGTGGCATTACCCTCTCCCAGCTGCCCATGGTTACCCACGAACAAGTAGAAAATATTCTGGAGATGGCCCAAGAGCCAGCCCCATTCTCAGTGGTGTCCATGGGCACCTATATAAGTGCAGCAAGGCTGCTCTGACATGCTGTAATTATAGCACATTGGAGCAAACTCCAGTGTCATATGTATCAGCATCCCTGTGCTGAAAAATGGCAGCGGGACACTTTGGACGCTTTAACGAAAGCTCGTTTGAAGAGCTTTAAGTCTCCCCCGTCGCCATTTTTCAGCACAGGGATACTGATGCACATGATGCTCCAGACACTTTAATTAGAGCGTCAGCCCTCCCCCCCCCCCAAGCACGTGTATAAGCACCCTACGATTTCTTCTTCCACCATCTTACAATCACTGCCCAAGAGACTGATACACTATTCCACCTTTCAGTTCTAGTGAATCACTTCACCCAACTGGGTGATCATGTGGTTGAGGCTCAAGAGGAACTTTTATAGTGATACCTTGTGCAGGACTAGAGCCTAACAATGTTGTGCATTCAGAAAGCAAAAGAGCTCTAGGCAGCAGGCATCTATGACACATTTTCACCACACAACATGAAAAAGCACCCGCATTCTCAGCCTGATCTTCCTGTCTGGTTTGTCACCAGTGGAAACAGAGGCTTGCTTTATTCCAGCCATTACTGTAACCAAGGACCTCTCTGAAGTCAGAGGTGGTCAACCCATGACTGAGGGGGTTGTGTCATCTCAGGTCTACAGGGCTCCCTAAGGGGTGCCTGAAAACCTGGCAGCAGGGGAGTTGTGGTAGCATTAACTGCTGCTCCCTCCTACCCAATTTCTCTGTCAACATAACAATGTTGTGTTCACATGATCACACCAGGGCACAGGGGGTCCTCCTGGCACACAGCTGGATCTGGGCATGTGGAATTATATAAAGTATACCACACACACACACACACACACACAGAGATAAAACTTGAGGAAACTAGCCAAGAAAAGCCCTTGATTGGAAGAACTGTCGTATATATACTGTCGCATAAAAGAAAGGCACAATGATCAATAACTTTGAATAGCAGGGGCAGAATCATTAGATTATGTGGGATTGCCATGGAAAAGAGATAAGAAAAGAAAATGTCAATAGAATAAAATTAGATGAAGTATCAGCTACAACTTCAGTACTCTTTGTATCCATCAACCCTCTACCCTTTACTTCTTTAAATGCCCAAAGATGCCGTAGTGGTTAAGTGACAATAGTTAACAAAATTAAATACTTTACGTAGATTACTGAAGACGGCACAAGGAGGTGGGATATTATCTGTTGCTGAGATAGTTGGAACATCAGCTTTTTTTCCCCTTTTTTTAAATTTATATTATGCCTGGGAGGATGAACCACAAATAGCAATTCATTACAATACAAATATAATGCATTCATAAAATGGAAGAGTTAAAGCTCTCAGTCAAATTATTACAATAAACTTGAATAACAAACATTCTACGTTTTGTAAACGTAGTGGCATCTCATAGTTTTTCTATTAAAACTCCATGTTTACATGTTACATCACTAACATACCATTTCTGAGATTCTGTGTTATGCTGATATTAGTAACCAAAAAGAAACTCAATTTGAAAACAGTTTAAAAGACACAATCAATCCTGGCTATGTATCTGTCTACAGCAGTGGTTATCAACTTTTTTAGCTTTGAGACAACCATTGGAAAAATATTAGTTCTTAAGTTTTCATAGTCAAAAAATGAGTGAAAAAAATAGAAGAGAGCAGTTTTCTGTTGCAAAGAACTCAAAAAGACGTGTCAGAATAATTTTAACGCTATAGATTTCTGTTTGAAATCTAAGCTTATCTTGTGAAACATATCTGCACACTTGACAGTGCAAGTATTGTGTAGCACCCTGATGCACCCCTGAAAGGAGTTCAAGGCACTACAAGGCACACTGGTTGAGAATCACTGGCCTAGGGTTTTTCTTTTATAATTGTTTATATTCCCACAAATCTATGCTCTTCTATTCTTCTTTTAAACATTCTCTTCTTCTCCCTTTTGCTTCTGTTTGCCTTTCATACAACCAAGATGTGAGAAAAAAATACTGCCCATAAAAGAACAAAACCAAAAAACACTTTAGTGTTAACTTGTACTTAACTAGCATCTAAAAATCACTTTGGCCAAAGTTTTTATATTTGAGTCAGTTCATATCAAAGGGAAGTTATCCATTCAAATAATGTGAAGGGCATCTAGAAACACAATAAGTGAGAATTTCCTTCAGCAACTTCAAAAATCCCTAAAAGCCTCAGGGCCTACCTACTCTTCTTTTTGCAGAAAGGTACTTTGTGCCCAAAAGCCTGTTCAACATCTCTTCCAATAAAGACAGTCCAATAAAAGATATTACTAACTAAACATTGCTTCTGTCATATTCCCTGGATCATCACAGCTACAGCACTATAAGTGTACTGTACTAAAAGTTGAACATTTCAACAAGCGAGATCCTGATGCTTACCCAGGTCTCCTCCTGTCTTGGTGATTTGAGTTTCTTTGAAATGTATTTACTTAATGCAAGATAATTGTAACAGATTACATTAAATTTGCAGTTGAAAATATAAGACCTAAACTAAAGTTGAAAATAATTTTTAAAGAAAAAAATGTTTTCTAAAAATCACCTTTTGATGATTTGTTTAAATTTTAACTCCAGAAAAAATATTTTTCATAAACGGATAAAGTTTTTTCCATTTCTGGATCAGTGATAGTTAGTGTGGTAGAAAGACTCAAGGCAACCTGAAGGCAAGCTGCAATGGGTCCCCTGCCTTCCACCCTTGCGCTGTCTCCTGGTCCTAGCAGACAGCCTCCTATGTGCAAAAGTAGCATTTTATTTGCATCTTTCCATGGACTTTGGAAAACAAGAGTGCACTAGGTTCACATTTACAAAAGTCCATCATTAATAAGGCCTGAATACATTCTTTAAAAAAATTAAATTTAGGATTCTGTAGAATTGAGCTGCAGTCACCCAGTGTTTGTAGTGCAGAAGTTGCTTCAAATCTTGGCCAACAATAAGCCTGCACTAAGTGGCTGAAGTAAGGAGAGTTACTAAACACCTATATTTTTTATTTATTTGCCTCTAGCTTTCCATCCCTTTCCAGCAGGGTAAGCCTTCCAGATTATATTGCAGTCAGTCATACAAGTTCTGAAAATAATGTTACAATCTGATCTTCAAGTCAGCAAGTCAAGAGTTTAATGATAAATGCAAAGCTTTTTGAATGATTTCCAGGATTGTTTTACTTGTCTAATAATGAACTATAGCAAGCATAACTATTTCATTACATTTTTTTGAGAAACAGAGGGGGAGGGTTGCCTTATCAGGCCTGAGTTAAAGCACACCTGCCAAAACACAGATTTCAGTAGCTATGAAGAGAACAAAGCATGATTATACTGCCAACATTGGCATGTCTGCAACTGATTTAACTGGAGCTATGACCCTGAACACAAAAGCTTCAACTTTAGAGGCAACTTGAGGGGAGTATTTTTGTGATTTTACATGCATACAGTTAAAGATATGGCACTTACTTGCAGCAAAAGCAATGTATGTTGGAAGAAAGCAAAGGTGAGCAAGTATTTTAGGATTCCAGGTGAAACCCTAAGAGTTTAATTTAAAATTTTGTTTTCATTAATGCTAAAAGTCATGACATTTCTTACTATTATTATACAGTAAACCTAAGCATTGAAGTTAAACAGAAATTAATGGCAGCATGTTTCAGCTTGTTTGCTGAAATCCATTTTGTTATGCCTGCTAGTTCTACTTTCTGAAATACAAAAAATTAAGTGCTTAAAACATCCCATCCCTCCCCCCTCCCCTTTTTGGAATTATCATTAACTTCAGGAGCTGGAATTAGCTTCAGAAAGAGGAAAGTCCATAGGCTTTTAACTTTACTCTGTAAATTTTACAAACACCTATTGTACAAAGCCATTTTAGTTCAAACTTCCTACATGGGAGCTTGAAACATTTCTAGATAAGAAACTGACAAACTGCAAACAAAAAAAATCCATTAGCTTTAGCTTCTAAAGTTGAAGTAGCCACAAACTGGCATTCAAGTTCCAGAAACAATTTGAGGGCTTGAATGTTACTTTTCAGCTCTTTACAACTCGTTGTAAACTAACCTTTCAATTGAATTTCTTTATTCAAAAAATTCACGATGCTTGCAATGGTGATCAAAGGTACGAAATAAAATTTATAACTGGAAAAACCAATGAAGATCTCACTTCTTTCCAAAGTTCCACCAAATCTCCCAGCATCAACAGCTGTTGGTTATTATACTTAAATAAGCATACTTTTCATTTCACAAAAGCTAAGGTCAGTTCTCAACACACTCCAAAGGTCTAGCTAAAGAAATAGGCCATATTTTAAAGGTAATTAGGAATTTTCAAAACCATTTAAGCACATACTTTCAATTTTAAAAAAGTGAATTTGAGACATGAATGGTTCTACAAAAAAAATCCCATTAGGCATTTATCTACATCTTTAGGAGGCTAAAGAGTTTTAAAAATCTGACTTGATACTCTTAATAGCCATGTATAAAAAAGTTATTTAAATATTTAATAGTATTTTAATGCTTATTGTAAATATCAGTGTCCAAAGTATAGTAAGCTAAACTGTAATGTGACCACAAATTAAAAGCTCCAAAGTGCAATCATTTTCTTTCCAGAGGGGTTACAATCAGAAGTTGTCAGAAAGGCTAAAACTGGACTCTGCTTTTTGGCAAGACGCAGCCACTGGGAACCTTGGTGAGAGCAAGTTCCATGAAGAAACCCAACTGGCAAAGTTCCAAGATGGAGCCAGAGCAAAGAAATTTACAGCCACAGCAGTAAAACAGTTCCCCTGTGACTTAAGATGTGACTATATATTACAAGAAAAATGGGGCAATCACTGGGGGAGGGAAGCAAGTAAAGCCAAAATAACAATCAGAGCAGGATTTTATTTTTAAGAGTCAGGCAAGGAGACAAAAGGGGCAAAATGCAATCCTCTCTAAATAAAAACTAATATATCAGCATTAAAGTTGTGCATTTAAACATAACCTTTGATTCTCATACCAATGGCAACAGTAGTGCTAAATTAAAGTGTGTTCCAGTAAGCATTAGTGTTGTATTGTTGTTCTGATAGTGAACTAATACTTGGAAGTTAGCTTTATTGCATGTGACATGCTGTTTTAACTAAAGATCTTTGCTTTTCAGTGTCAGTACTATGAGGAAATACCATATACTTGAACACCCTTTATTTTAAATTATGTATATGTGCATTTTGAATTTCTCTTCACTTGTTAGTATCTACACTAGATGTAAATGAAGGTCAAAGACACTGCAACATTTAAAAGGTGAATAAATCAAATTCAGTCTATAGCAGTTGCGTCTTCAAACTACATAAGAGAAATCAGCTAGAACATTATTCATTCTCAGGACACTTGTGACCTCTAGAGAAATAGCATATGAAATAAACTAGTAGTTGGCAGCAGCTACCCAGAGCTGGGGCTGGCCGCAGCTGGGAGTCTGCAAACAGCTGCATGCATGGGGGGGGGGGCTGAGGCAGCACAACCCCAGCCTCTCCCCTGCTGCCGGCACAGAACTGATGGTTGGGCTCCGGAGCTCACTGCAGCTGTTTGTAGGCAGCCTGGTCTCTGGACAGCTGCAACAAGCAGTAGGTAGGCTGCAAACAGCTCCACCGGGCTCCACAGCTCTAGAATCAGCTCCATGCTGGCAGTGACTGTGCATGCACCTCAGAGCAGACAGCAGAAGGGCTGCACTGCCTCACCCCAGTCATCAGCTCTGTGCCAGGAGTGGGGGAGACTGGGGTTGCGCTGCCTCAGGCCCCACCCACTGCCCGCTCCAAGGTGCACGCACTGGTATAGAGCTAATGCCTGAGCCCGGCGCAGCTGTTTGCAGCCTCCTTGCTGCACCCAGCCTCGGCTCTGGGTAGCTGCTGCCAGCCATGGAGCAGGCTGCTTGCAGCAGGGCTTGCAGCTTCCGAGCCGCCTGCTGGGAGCAGCCTGGGCTCCGTGGTTGGCAGCAGCTACACAGAGCTGGGGCTGGTGGTGGCATGCCAAGCAAAATGGCCTTGCATGTCACGCTTGGCACACGTGCCAGGGGTTGCTGACCCCTGTATAATGAATCAGAAAAAAAAAATGCTTGAGAAAAGCTCCAAGGGAAAGCAAGGCAAAGCATTCATTCAAACAGCAACTTAATTTTACAAACAATACACAGATAAGAAAAAGAGAGCAAGCACGCACACAATTTTTTACTTTAACAGGCCTTTCCCTTAGAACAGATCTCTCCCCTCAGGAAAGGCTCATTTTTCAAGTTGTCAGAAATGGATGCTACTTCACCAAGTCAAGTGAAATCTGCACCTAGTGTACTGTGTTACAACAGCATTCTAAAGTGTTTTCTGCAAAATAAACAGTATTATTATGATTTTTTTACAGTCTTTATTCAACTTACCTCAAAGCACTTCATATTAGGTAATACAACCATTGCAGAAAAGGAAAATTAAGGGATAAAGGCATAAAGATCTCAAAAAAAAAAAAAAAAAAAAAAAAAAAAAAAAAAAAAAAAAAAATCAAACAAACCATGCCTTTGCTTCTTATTACTGTATTTTAATAAGTTCCTAGCTGCAGGATGGCTCAAGCTCTGTTTCAGCGATATTTTAGTTCATATTTCTCCACATACAACATGCACCCCGAAGTCAGCTCCCCCAAAATGGAAGGGAAGAGGAATGTTTTAAGCAGATAAACTGTTTGGGGTTTGTATTTTGGGGAGGGGTTTGGCTGGAAAAGCAAGCCTGGAGATGCTGCATGCTATGTAGCTGCCAAAATGCAAGGATCCCATGTTAACCCTTTCAAAGCCATAGCTATTGGCCAAGGACTGCAGCTTGTGCCTGAAGCAGTGAGCGACTGATATACAGCATCTTTGACAAGACTTACAATGCAGAGAGGACACTTGATTTACAGGAGCTTGCATAAAGAACTGCTTGAGGTAAAGCACTGACAATCTTGCTACCGCCCTTGCAATGGTCTGAGGCTCAACCCTCAGACCACTGAGGCAAAGAGCAAGCCCTCCTAGGAACAGTGTCCAGGCAAACCTACGGACAGACTTGGCAAGGCAGCTGGCACAAGGAACTTTCTGATGCCACATTCCCTGGACGCTAGGGTCATGTCCACATGAGTGCAGCCATGCTGTATATGGTGCCACAGACATGCCTGCTGTGCCACATACTGCACGTTCAGTGGTTCTCCATGCTGCAAGCAATCAGTGCACAGGGTTTTTCTGGATATCCAGGGGTCAAAAAAACCCAAGTAAAAAAAAAAAAAAGGAGAGGCCCAAAGCCAAAGGTTGGCAAGCTAGAGCTGTGATCCACTGCTGACCAGACTCCTCATGGCAGGATCACCGCTGTTGGAGCCCCAGAAGGCCCCCAGGACAGGCTGCTGCGGGGCCTAGTGCTGGCCCCAGCGTCCCCTACCCCACCCAGGGTAACTTACTGTACACAAGAGCACACATGGAACAGGCATTCCCCAAGGACAACCAGCAGGGGGCACGAGGTGTGCCACCGCTAGCTGTCCCTGGGGAACCAAATGTCCACACAGCTAGACGCAGCCTATGAGTGCTTACAATTGAACGGGGGGGGGCGGGGAGGGAACCCAATGCTTTACTTTCAGCTTGGTGTGTTCCTGTGCCAAACACAGCACATGCCCAGAAAAGGAATCGCATCAGTTTGACCCAGTTCCCCAGAGTCTGCATGCACTTCAACGGGGCTTTCTGGCACTTTTATCTAATAGCTGATTGGATCAGCTATCAGATAAAAAAGCTAAAGAGCCTCTCAAAAACACGAGCTACAGATGTTGGGAAGCTAGATCAAACTGATGTGATTTCTCTTCCAGTAAAGAGCTGTTTTTCATTTTTTTTTTTCCATGTCTGTCAGCATCCTATGTTCCCAGGAGGATTTACTCCTTATCACAGAGTGGGCTATGCCTCTGGAAAAATCTTTTTAAAAAATAGCCTTCCAAAAACTGGGTGCATGTTTTATGTGAGGAAATACAATGTTTTCCTTGCCAACTCGACCAGTACCTACCTAGGTTTTTCCTTTGAGGGAGATGAGTAGCTATATTAATTTTCATTATATGTCACTCTGAGTTCATCCCCAGGCAAAAATAGTTAATTAAGACTTAAAGCTAAGGAAAGTCTCTCTTATGGGCACAAAAACACCCTTGCAATGTTTTTATTATAAACTCACATCAGAACACAATTAGACATTAAGGACCTGTTATTTAAAAAAAAAAAAGATGCTAATGTTCGTTTGTGGACCCTGAAACATCTTCCATCTTCTCACAGTCAAGAGGGGGCACACAAACAAACCCCACTTGTCCCAGTGACTCAAGAATTTAACAGTCTTGAAAGGGAGCTCTGAGTTTGGTTGTGCCTACCATACCCAAGACAGCTCACCTATTCAGAAACAGGCAGCCCTAAAAAAGTGTGAAAGTTGACCAGAATTTAACCTACTGAAAACCAAGAGCCTCTCTCTGCAATGAGAGCCAAGAAAACACACAAAAAAGGACTCTGTGAAGTTCAAAAGGAGCAGAGGTGCTTACAAGAGCTCCCGAGGTCATCTTTTGAATGCTCCTCTCTTTCACTACTTTTAAAGATTCTTAGGTCCATAATTAGAGTTACCTTGCTAGGAACCAACTTTGGGAAATGCCAGGCCACAGAAAATTTTCATCTCTTCTTCCTTATCTACCTGGACCTAACCCAGACAGAAGCAGGTTTCTTTAACACAGTATGTGTCATACTGCACCACGTTTCTTCATTCTGCTTTTTAAAAAGGTCCCAATTTCAGTCTTTCTAGTTTTACATTACATTGGGCTCTCCATGGCCTGTGGTTTTATTCTTCAGTTTGTGCATTTGATTCCTTTCACCCAGTGACACAGGGGCACCTGTGTGTACTGGAGCGCATGAGTGTACTGTGAAGAAGTGGGCTGCATAGTGCCCTGGGCATGCTGGCCCAACATGACAGGATTAGAGCCCAACTGAGCTAGCACTGGATGATGAGGCCCACTAATGAGATCTGGCCCATAGACTAACCCAACACCAACCCAACATCACTTAGCCCGCAGGGCCAAAAGGTTGCATTTTATTTGCATCAATGTATATTATTCTCAAAGCAGCGAAGAGAGAACAGAGAAAGAAAAACAAGAGCAATTCTAGCCTACGGCCTACTCTCCCCTACAGAAAGACCTGCAACTTCTGCAGATGGGTTTGGGGCTCAAGGCTTGGACTCTTAAGTCACCTCAAGACCCATAAATGAGCTAGGATAGTGACCGTCCTCAAATCCAGGGATTGCCACCACCAACAATCTATTACGCACACTTCACCCACGCACATCATTTTGGGTATAAGAGTGAAGCATGCTGCCAATTTTAATCCAGAAAAAAAAAGTGAGTGCACCCCTGATATCAAAAGTTTGGGGGAAACCCCTTAAACGTCAAGATTTTCACCATTAGCATAAGCAAGATACTCTAAGTTCCCCCATAAAGCTTCCTGAAACCTGTATTAAGAACACATAGGCCTTTTTCTTTAAGTGCAGATGATGAATACTCTAAAATCAAAACCGGAATGACAAATCATAGCCTGGCTTAGAACAGGATTTTGAACATGAAGGCTAATATGTACTACCTAAACCAGACCAGACTAGTACAAAATTCTAGTCTAGACAAGGCCCTAGCAAGTCCCCACAAGGCTTCTATAAACCCAGGTCTCCCCTGTCTTCATATGTAGTCACTTGCCCATGGGCAAGTGACTTAATTCCCTGTGAAGACTAAGCAAGCAAAAATGGTACATCCTTTACTTTCTGTGTCTCTCCCATCACGTAACTGAGAACCAGACTTAGATAAACAATCACCCTTTCCAGTTTCATTAAATGACTAGAAACAAAATACCTTGAACATAAACAAACCTGTACAATAGTTAAGGAACACCTAGGTTTACTAGACTCAGGTTATAATTGAGAGACACAGTTAAGATGATACTGACAGCCTAACTGCAATGTTGCCAGTTACAACATTTACATTTTCTTTAAAATGTCAGACTGATACCACTTTCTAGCCAATTACTTCTGTGTCAAAAAAAAAAATGTGGTTTCTTCAGGATTCTTTTATGTTAAAGAAAGGTTAAGTCCTTTTTTAATCTTGATTCTATGTTAAAGGAAAAATCTACCTGGAAAACTTGGGTCTGTCTTTCTGGGAGGTGGAAAGGGGTGTTAAACAAAAGCTTGGATTGTTAACTGACAAAAGATTTTATAGGACACAAAGAACAGGACAGTAGTCTCTCTCATCTCTCCTCACCACAGCTATCCACATCTGGGAGGTAAGACTTTGTAAAACATACACATGCATGCACACAAAGTGATAAAGGTATATTATTCTCATCTTTAAACATCTTTTGTTTTGTATACTTGCATAGTTATAGGTAAGAACTCAAGTAGGATGGGTACCTCCAAGTAGGAGTCACCCCCATATAAATATGCCTGTTTCATTTTGTTAGCCTTATAACAAAGGTTACTTGTTCAAGTGGCACATTCCTTTCAGATTCACGTAGATAATGTTATGAATTTAATTCAAACAACAAAAACGTATTAGCGTAGTAATGGAATGCCATTATATGCTCCCTGACTGTCTACATTAATTACTTTCCCTTAACTGTGAGAAGTGTCTGAAATCCTGCCATATCCTTGACCTGGTATAGACCTGGTACTGACAAAGAATGTACTGATCAATGATCACCTCCTGTGATAAATGAAGCTCAAGTTGTTGTTATTGGCAGGTTTATCACCTGTGTTTGATACTGTTGAACCACAAAGTGCTGACCTTAAGCAGAACCAAATAAAAATGCACTTCAGCAGCTTCTTTCTTTTCTTTTGGCAGAGCACCACAGGTAGTTGCAGGTATTTTCTGTTCCTTCTAAAGAGCTCTCCAAGGCAACATACCCTTCTATTACCTCTGGTGTTAAACATGAACATTAGTGGCATGAGCAACACTGGAAACAGCTAGCTGTAGGTGTTTTGCTCATCCAACTCAAACAACTTGTATGACTGTCTCATGCAGATTCAGATCAGACAAGAAGCCAGCTGAAGCAACTACACAACATGGAGGAGGGAGGAACACTGACCACCCAACTAACAAATGTCCATCTGCCTTGAAATTTTAGGAAAGGGGTTTCCTAAAATTAGACCTAGATTCTGAAAGAATCAATCCTAGCGTTCAGAGCCTAGGTCTGATTTCAGGAAACCCTTTTCCTCCCCTCTCCCCAACACAATAAGTTTTATTAGATCACATTATACAAGCTGGGATGTCAAACTCATTCATCCTCCAGGGCCAGATGAGCATTCCTAGGCTGGTCTGCGGGTCAGACTGGACCAAGCCCCCTAGCAGCACCAGCTGTCCAGCCCCTTCACCAAATGCAGGGCATGCTGGCCACCAGAGCAGCATGAGGGGGAGGGGGGGAGCAGTGCAGAGCTCACTGTGCATGCAGTATGTGGAGCCAGCACAGGATGCACAGACTGGACCTGACCTTGCACATGGCACAAGAAGTCCAAGGTATGGGCTGCCTATGCCATCCCGCACCCCTGCCAGCCTCCTGTGCTATGTGCAGTGTGCACAGCGCAGGGTTCAGTGGTGCAGGGGTTGAAGCATGGGGTCTGTTCAGCAACCTATGAGCCAAATCCTAAGGCTCCACAGGCCAGATCTGGCTTGTGGGCCATGTTTGACACACCTGTTACATAGGAATTAAGACACCTTTTTAAGTACCATGCCTGAATACATACTGTAACTTTTCAGAGGCAGACCTTGCACCTGTTACTAATGCCTTTGTCACATGAAGAGTCTGACATACTGAAATGATGTCTGTGTAAGGCCTAAACTAGATACTGAAAATGCAGCAGCTCTACTCAGTGAATGGAATATGGCTTCGACATCCTGCATGCGTAGGCTATTGCCAGCATTTAGCTTTTTGTAGGGAAACTTGCCTACTCCAAAGATCACCTCTCCCTGTGGCCGGCTGCCACCACTTCAGCCAATCAAAGTATTTCAACCAACTGTTTTGCCTAGTCACTCTCTTCCAGTAAGCATATCATAACATTTATCTTACTGTTCATAAATGAATAGCTCTCTCATTGCTTCAGTTAGTAAGGCCAGTCAGCCTACTCACTGGAGGATGCCCCCAAATACATTTTGCCCACAGGATGGATTCTGAAGGACTAAGAAGGATGGGAGAAGAGCTGGCTTTAGCATTCCAGGTTTCCCCAGAAATCAAGATGTAGCCAGGCAGGGTTGTGTGTACAGACACACACAAACACACAACTTAGGCAGAAGAGTGAGGTCCCCAGACTCAAGTGGACCCTGCAGGCAGTAAGACAGTGATTCTCTGCCATGGCACCATGGCACCCAAAGGTCCTTTGAAAGGTGCTGTACGATAGTCACACTGTCAGGATTCACAAGATAACTTCAGACTCCGAAGAGTCAGAGAGAAGTACGACTGAAAAGGAGCACCAGAGCTCATCTAATCCAACCCCCTGCTTGAGGCAGGATCATTCCCATCCAAACAATCCTCTACAGCCATCATCTAGACTCTACAGAAGACCACCTCAGCCCTGATCCAACACAGCCCTAACACCCTCAACTACCACAGGTAAAGCAGGAGAACAATAGCAGCCAATGCCCTGCTTCTATAAAAAGCGTTGTCAACATACACTCAAGAGGAGTCCAGTGTCAAAACCCTTTGCCCGGTTCTTCCACCCCAGGTTCTTCCCACCAGAAGAACTGCTCCAGCATTTCTCACTACCAGCCACCTCCCAGCCCATAGCCCACTCTCCCCTGCACACAGCAAGACTTCTGCAGACAGTTCCGGGGCTTGGATTTTTCCCTGAATCAGGGGAAGAGACTGCCAATGACCAGTAAGCCTGCAAAAGCTACCAGCTGGCATTTGTTATGGGGCACCTCAAGGATAAGCACCGCTGCTGGATGAGACCTGCAGACCATTATGAGGGATCCTAGCAATGGGGCCAAGGAATGGGGGTGGTCAGCTCTTTCCTTCTCGCTGCCCCCCAACACTCAGCAGCCAAGGCCACCCCCACAGGCTTGTCCCAGGCCAGGATCCTAAGGGGACATGTGTAAGTGTGTGGGCAAGTGTGAGTATGCATGTACCATCCTGTAGGTCACTTGGAAGTGTGAGCATGTGTAAGTGCAAGCATAGTGTCTGTCCCCCCCATGACACTCACTGTTGCTGGACTTGAGGTCACGGTGCAGTACAGGCACGGCCGCCTGCTCGTGGAGGTAGCGCATGCCTTGGGCGATCTGCACTGCCCAGTTGACCAGCACGTGCGGGGGGATTCGTCGTCCCCGGCGGGCCCCAGCCCCGGCCCCGGCCCCGGCCCCAGCCCCGGCCAAGACGCGGTGCAGGGCGCCGCCGCGGGCTAACTCCATGACGAGGCAGAG